TGCCACAACCTGGCCAGTACGAATGTGTGTTGCCACAACCTGGCCAGTACGAATGTGTGTTGCCACAACCTGGCCAGTACGACTGTGTTGTCACAACCTGCCCAGTACGACTGTGCGTTGTCACAACCTGGCCAGTACGACTGTGTGGTGTCACAACCTGGCCAGCACGACTGTGTGTTGTCACAACCTGGCCAGTACGAGTGTGTGTTGCCACAACCTTGCCAGTACGACTGTGTGTTGTCACAACCTGGCCAGTACGACTGTGTGTTGCCACAACCTGGTCAGTACGACTGTGTTGTCACAACCTGGAAAGTACGACTGTGTGTTGTCAAAACCTGGCTAGTACGACTGTGTGTTGTCACAATCTGTCCAGTACGACTGTGTGTTGTCACAACCTGGCCAGTACGACTGTGTGTTGCTACAACCTGGCCTGTACGACTGTGCGTTGTCACAAGCATGCCAGTACGAATGCGTGTTGCCAGAACCTGGCCAGTGCGACTGTGTGTTGTCACAACCTGTCCAGTACGACTGAGTGTTGTCACAACGTGGCCAGTACGACTGTGTGTTGTCACAACCTGGCCAGTACGACTGTGTGTTGTCACAACCTGTTCTAAATTCGTGAAGGATAATGCAAGTCAAAAGCTTTTCTGTTGTGTTTATTTCGCTGCCTTTACACACAGGATAACAGGCCTTTGGGACTCCTGGGTTGTAATAGGTAACAAAAGAAAAGTACAGTAACTTCAATAACAGCATACTAACACATACACAAGTGAAAGTTTGTGTATGCAATAATTTCGCAAAAATCATTCTGAACCTAACGGAAAAAAATGTATTTCATTGTGTTTGTTTATTATTAAATTATTGTAAACTTATCTAAACATTTTTAGTTAAATTAGGCTAAATCAAATTAAATTAAATTAAAGGTTAGGTAAGTGTTCTTTTAGAGCAAAATTATTAGTTTTTTACATTAACATAAATGAAAAAAAATATATCTTTAAACGCACAGAGAAAATATAAGAAAGGACTCAATTTTACATGAGGTCTTGTTAACAGACCAGTTTCACCCATTCGGATATTGGATATGGCAGTTTGGAAGAGTATCTAATATTACTTTATATATGCTTCTAAACTGTTGTGTCTGAGCGCCTCTGCAAAGACAGTGATTATGTGTGAGTGAGGTGAAAGTGTTGAATGATGATGAAAGTATTTCCTTTTTGGGGATTTTTTTCATATTATGATAACGTGGGTGGCACCAGCGAGATGCCACTGACGTGTTATTCCCGAGTAGGAATAACCCCACCATGGTTACTGTCAGGGAGGCTGGAGTGGGAATAACACCACCATGGCTACTGTCAGGGAGGCTGGAGTGGGAATAACACCACCATGGCTACTGTCAGGGAGGATGGATTAGGAATGACACCACCATGGTTACTGTCAGGGAGGCTGGAGTGGGAATAACACCACCGATGCTACTGTTAGGGAGGCTGGAGTGGGAATAACACCACCATGGTTACTGTCAGGGAGGCTGGAGTGGGAATAACACCACCGATGCTACTGTTAGGGAGGCTGGAGTGGGAATAACACCACCATGGTTACTGTCAGGGAGGCTGGAGTGGGAATAACACCACCATGGCTACTGTCAGGGAGGCTGGAGTGGGAATAACACCACCGATGCTACTGTCAGTGAGGCTGGAGTGGGAATAACACCACCGATGCTACTGTCAGGGAGGCTGGAGTGGGAATAACACCACCGATGCTACTGTTAGGGAGGCTGGAGTGGGAATAACACCACCATGGTTACTGTCAGGGAGGCTGGAGTGGGAATAACACCACCGATGCTACTGTCAGTGAGGCTGGAGTGGGAATAACACCACCGATGCTACTGTCAGGGAGGCTGGAGTGGGAATAACACCACCGATGCTACTGTTAGGGAGGCTGGAGTGGGAATAACACCACCATGGTTACTGTCAGGAGGCGGGGTGTGAATAACACCACCATGGCTACTGTCAGGGAGGCTGGAGTGGGAATAACACCACCATGGTTACTGTCAGGGAGGCTGGAGTGGGAATAACACCACCGATGCTACTGTTAGGGAGGCTGGAGTGGGAATAACACCACCATGGTTACTGTCAGGGAGGCTGGAGTGGGAATAACACCACCATGGCTACTGTCAGGGAGGCTGGAGTGGGAATAAAACCAAGATGCTACTGTCAGGGAGGCTGGAGTGGGAATAACACCATCATGGCTACTGTCAGGGAGGCTGGAGTGGGAATAACACCACCGATGCTACTGTTAGGGAGGCTGGAGTGGGAATAACACCACCATGGTTACTGTCAGGGAGGCTGGAGTGGGAATAACACCACCATGGCTACTGTCAGGGAGGCTGGAGTGGGAATAACACCACCATGGTTACTGTCAGGGAGGCTGGAGTGGGAATAACACCACCATGGTTACTGTCAGGGAGGCTGGAGTGGGAATAACACCACCATGGCTACTGTCAGGGAGGCTGGAGTGGGAATAACACCACCGATGCTACTGTTAGGGAGGCTGGAGTGGGAATAACACCACCATGGTTACTGTTAGGGAGGCTGGAGTGGGAATAACACCACCATGGCTACTGTCAGGGAGGCTGGAGTGGGAATAACACCAAAGATGCTACGGTTAGGGAGGCTGGAGTGGGAATAACACCACCATGGCTACTGTCAGGGAGGCTGGAGTGGGAATAACACCACCATGGCTACTGTCAGGGAGGCTGGAGTGGGAATAACACCACCATGGTTACTGTCAGGGAGGCTGGAGTGGGAATAACACCACCGATGCTACTGTTAGGGAGGCTGGAGTGGGAATAACACCACCATGGTTACTGTCAGGGAGGCTGGAGTGGGAATTACACCACCATGGCTACTGTCAGGGAGGATGGAGTGGGAATAACACCACCATGGCTACTGTCAGGGAGGCTGGAGTGGGAATAACACCACAATGGTTACTGTCATGGAGGCTGGAGTGGGAATAACACCACCGATGCTACTGTCAGGGAGGCTGGAGTGGGAATAACACCACCAATGCTACTGTCATGGAGGCTGGAGTGGGAATAACACCACCATAGCTACTGTCAGGGAGGCTGGAGTGGGAATTACACCACCATGGCTACTGTCAGGGAGGCTGGAGTGGGAATAACACCATAGCTACTGTCAGGGAGGCTGGAGTGGGAATAACACCACCAATGCTACTGTCAGGGAGGCTGGAGTGGGAATAACACCACCATGCTACTGTCATGGAGGCTGGAGTGGGAATAACACCACCGATGCTACTGTCAGGGAGGCTGGAGTGGGAATAACACCACCGACGCTACTGTCAGGGAGGCTGGAGTGGGAATAACACCACCGATGCTACTGTCAGGGAGGCTGGAGTGGGAATAACACCACCGATGCTACTGTCAGGGAGGCTGGAGTGGGAATAACACCACCGACGCTACTGTCAGGGAGGCTGGAGTGGGAATAAACACCACAATGCTACTGTCAGGGAGGCTGGAGTGGGAATAACACCACCAATGCTACTGTCAGGGAGGCTGGAGTGGGAATACACCGATGCTACTGTCAGGGAGGCTGGAGTGGGAATAACACCACCAATGCTACTGTCAGGGAGGCTGGAGTGGGAATAACACCACCAATGCTACTGTCAGGGAGGCTGGAGTGGGAATACCACCGATGCTACTGTCAGGGAGGCTGGAGTGGGAATAACACCACCAATGCTACTGTCAGGGAGGATGGAGTGGGAATAACACCACCCATGCTATTGTCAGGGAGGCTGGAGTGGAAATAACACCACCAATGCTACTGTCAGGGAGGCTGGAGTGGGAATAACACCACCCATGCTATTGTCAGGGAGGATGGAGTGGGAATAACACCACCAATGCTACTGTCAGGGAGGCTGGAGTGGGAATACCACCGATGCTACTGTCAGGGAGGCTGGAGTGGGAATAACACCACCAATGCTACTGTCAGGGAGGCTGGAGTGGGAATAACACCACCGATGCTACTGTCAGGGAGGCTGGTTGACGCTTTTTAATCAAATCATGAATATAACAATAATAATTAATAATAATAGCATAATAATAACATAATAATAATAATAATATTATATTATAATGAATTATAATATATTTGCGACCACTGTCAGCCTCAGAGTTATCTCTGAGTTACCAGACCTTGCCACGTGGAGGCCAGTGGTTCGTCTTTAAGGTCCCCCCCCCTCGCCTTCCCCAGGTTCATGTGTCCAGGAATTCATCCGTGGGCCCCCGGATGTCTCCCCTTTCTCATTTCCCTAAGGTCAGCCTCGCCTCTCTTTCTCTCTCTGCCTTCCAGCCTCAGCCTTCCCCAGGTTCATGTATCCAGGAATCCATCTGTCTGCCTCCGGATGTTTTCCCTTCCTCACTTCCCTAAGGTCAGCCTCACCAACCTGTTTTCTTGCTGTCCCCAGGTTCATGTATCCAGGAATCCTTCCGTCTACCGCCGGATATCTTCCCTTCCCTACTTACCCAAGGTCAGCCTCAACTGCATGTATTCTTGCCATCCCCAGGTTCATGTATCCAGGAATCCTTCCGTCTACCGCCGGATATCTTCCCTTCCCCACTTACCCAAGGTCAGCCTCAACTGCATTTATTCTTGCCTTGCTCAGGTTCATGTATCCAGGAATCCATCCGCTCGCTTCGGGTGTCTTCCCTTCCCCATTTCCCTAAGGTCGCCGGTGCCTTCCCCGGATCATTGTCTCCAGGAATCCACTTATATCACCTCAGGTGAACTCCCTTCCCAACTTCCCCAAGGTCAGCGGTATTCTTGCCGTCCGCAGGATCATGTATCCAGGAATCCTTCCGTCTACCGCCGGATATCTTCCCTTCCCCACTTACCCAAGGTCAGCCTCAACTGCATGTATTCTTGCCATGCTCATGTTCTTGTATCCAGGAATCCATCCGCTCGCTCCGGATGTCTCCCCTTCCCCACTTACCCAAGGTCAGCCTCAACAACAACCTTCCTCAAGTTCATGTATCCAGGAATCCATCCGCTCGCTCCGGATGTCTTCCCTTCCCCATTTCCCTAAGGTCGGCGGTGCCTTCCCCGGATCAGTGTCTCCAGGAGTCCACTTATGTCACCTGAGTGGACTCCCTTTCCCACTTCCCCAAGGTCAGCGGTATTCTTGCCATTCCCAGGATCATGTATCCAGGAATCCTTCCGTCTACCGCCGGATATCTTCCCTTCCCCACTTACCCAAGGTCAGCCTCAACAACAACCTTCCTCAAGTTCATGTATCCAGGAATCCATCCGCTCGCTCCGGATGTCTTCCCTTCCCCATTTCCCTAAGGTCGGCGGTGCCTTCCCCGGATCAGTGTCTCCAGGAATCCACTTATGTCACCTCAGGTGAACTCCCTTCCCCACTTCCCCAAGGTCAGCGGTATTCTTGCCGTCCGCAGGATCATGTATCCAGGAATCCTTCCGTCTACCGCCGGATATCTTCCCTTCCCCACTTACCCAAGGTCAGCCTCAACTGTATGTATTCTTGCCTTGCTCAGGTTCATGTATCCAGGAATCCATCCGCTCGCTCCGGATGTCTCCCCTTCCCCACTTACCCAAGGTCAGCCTCAACAACAACCTTCCTCAAGTTCATGTATCCAGGAATCCATCCGCTCGCTCCGGATGTCTTCCCTTCCCCATTTCCCTAAGGTCGGCGGTGCCTTCCCCGGATCAGTGTCTCCAGGAGTCCACTTGTGTCACCTGAGTGGACTCCCTTCCCCACTTCCCCAGAGTCAGCGGTGCCTTCCCGGATCAGTGTCTCCAGGAGTCCCACTAGTGTCACCTCAGGTGGACTCCCTTCCCCACTTCCCCAGAGTCAGCGGTTGCCACCTTCAGTGACCTCGCTGCATGGAAACTTGGTCTTGTCTAGCTGGTCTACGGTAGAGACTGTCCAGGTGGGTGGAATTACTGGAGGTGACACACACAGAAAACTGCGTCCAGTAATTACACCCACCAAGACAGCCGCGACCGTAGGTCAGCTAGACGCCACAAGCGGCCCCCACAGTTCGGCCACCTCCGAGAGGCTAATAACATAAATTTTGGAAATCCTTTTATGTTACACTATGAAAATATACTGAGAACAAGTTGTTTTTTTTACTTATTTAGCTGTTTAAAAGTATTTGAGAGTGTTTTATTATTGCAGATGAATACCCAAATGTTGGTTAATTTGTCCACCACCATCATAACTATGTTAAATATTACACTGCTTTCATTTTTGTTTATTTATCCGTCTTTTACATTTGGCACTGAAAGCCTGACAAGCGCAGAAATTGTTTGCATACACATATATAAGTATTTCCACAAATATTTATACGTTTAAACACATTCACCTTACTCATACATCATTCTACATACACTTGCATGCATAAAAAATCACACGCAATCCCATGTACTACAAATACGCACACAACAATGTACACATTTATCTGCTATCACTATAATATGTCTGAGATCACACATACATGCACACAAATATATCACTCCAAAGCCCATCCCACGAACACTTATGTACACATACATGTGTACACATTCTCGTAGACATACATGTACTCGTCCACATGATTAAACAATGTAGCAGAGACAATATATGGGAAATTTAGATATGAGTATTTGCTTCAATATTCAGAATATATAAGACAAAAAAATGTTGGTTTACAGTAATTTGAGAACATTGTTTGTGTAACTTGTGAATATTTAAAGATGTGACACGACTGATGCACTAGTGGAGGACTGTGTGTCATGTGCACTTGTTATTATGTACACATTAAATACACGTGTTGTGTATGTGTGCCATATGTACATGTGTGTTGATGATTGTCATGTGTACATGTTGTGTTGATGATTGTCATGTGTACATGTTGTGTGTTGATGATTGTCATGTGTACATGTTGTGTGTTGATGATTGTCATGTGTACATGTTGTAAGTTGATGATTATCATGGGTACATGATGTATGTTGATCGACATGTGTACGTGTTATGTACACATTAATACACGTGCTATTGTGTGTGTGTGCCATATTACATGTGTGTTGATGATTGTCATGTGTACTGTTATGTACACATTAATACACGTATTGTGTATGTGTGCCATGTGTACATGTTGTAAGCTGATGATTGTCACGTGTACGTGTCATTATGTATACATTAATACACGTGTTATTGTGTATGTGTACCATGTGTACATGTTGTGTGTTTGATTGTCATGTGTACATGTTGTATATTGTGATTGTCATGTATACATGTTGTGTGTTGATGATTGTCATGTGTACATGTTGTGTGTTTGATAGTCTTGTGTACATGTTATTATGTATGAATGATTATAACATGTATGATATATCGCGTGTACATGTTATTGTGTATGTATGAGTGAAAGTGAGACTCTCTAATCTCCTCCATGAAAATTGCAACGAATTTAATAAACTTCCGTTTTTTCGTGTTTCATAAATAAATTTGAAGGTCGCAAATGTTTGTATATATACATACATGTACGTACATGTAAAATGTGTGTGCAGAGTTTTAACACAGTATAGTTAATAAAGTTCTGCTCTACATGATGGCTTGTCTTGTATACATACATATAATATATATATATATTATATATATATATAAATATATATATATATATATATATATATATATATATATATATATATATACCATCATCATTACTACTATTATCATTAACATTGCTACCATCATCATTACTACTACTATCATTAATATTACTACCGTCATCATTACTATTACTATCATTAATATTACTACCATTATCATTACTGCTGCTACTACTACACTCCCCAGATAGGGAGCCAAGGCCGGGTCACCACTACTTGGAAAAGACCCGGGCCGGGAGAATACCGGCGAATAAAAAAAAAAAAATACTACTATCATTACTACTACTAATAATCATTACTAATACTATTAACATTACTACTACTGTTATCATTACTACTACTACTATTATCATTACTACTACTACTGTTATCATTACTACTACTACTATTATCATTACTACTACTACTATTATCATTACTACTACTACTATTAACATTACTACTACTGCTACTATTGTCATTACTACTACTACTATTAGCATTACTACTACTACTATTAACATTACTACTACTACTACTATTGTCATTACTACTACTATTATCATTACTACTACTACTATTAACATTATTACTACTACTAATGTTATCAGTCAGTCTGGTAATATCCACCAGGAATCACATTGTTTCCCAACAATTTCTATATAAAAATTCTCTACAAATCTTGCACTCACATTCATCATGTTTAGTTAATTGTTTTGTAGAGGAAACTGTCGTAACTGGTAACACCTTACTGACAGTCACTGAGGTGTTACATAACTAGTAACACCTTACTGACAATCACTCAGGTGTTACATAACTGGTAGCACCTTACTGACAGTCACTGAGGTGTTACATAACTAGTAACACCTTACTGACAATCACTCAGGTGTTACATAACTGGTAACACCTTACTGACAATCACTCAGGTGTTACATAACTGATAACACCTTACTGACAATCACTCAGGTGTTACATAACTAGTAACACCTTACTGACAATCACTCAGATGTTACATAACTAGTAACACCTTACTGACAATCACTCAGGTGTTACATAACTAGTAACACCTTACTGACAATCACTCAGGTGTTACATAACTGTCTAACTGGTAACACCTTACTGACAGTCACTCAGGTGTTACGTAATTGGTAACACCTTACTGACAGTCACTGAGTGTTACATAACTGGTAAAACCTTACTGACAGTCATCGGTTTTACGTAATTTGGAACACCTTTCTGACAGCACTG